CCCGCCCCTGGTAGACCTCGCGCTCATTGGTCGAATGCAAAGCAGGGGGCGGGGCTGCGGGCCCGGCGAGGGGGCTCGGAGAGATTTCGGGAGTCCGGAGTCGGGGCTGGGATTTCTCTGGGAAAGCCCAGCGGTGGTAGCTGCGGCGGATCCCCGGCACTGCCCGCGGCGCGCCCGCCCAGCCCTGGGCTGGCGAGCAGCTCCGCAAAGTCGCGGAGCGAAAGGAGGCGGAGCGCCCGCAAAGTGGTCGGGCTCAGGGCTGGGGCTGGGCTGGGCGAGGCGTGTGCCCTGGGAGCCTGGATCCCGGAGCCCTTGTGCCTCGCGTGGAGCGGCCAGTCACCGGGAGGCGAGCAGACGCTCTGGAAAGAACAAATTGCAGCCTTCCCAAAGACGCTAAGTTACGCAGGCCAGCCAGTTTCCGGAGAGCGTTCGCGAGCGCGCAGAGAGCCGAGCCGCAGAGCCCTCCCGGGCCAGTCGGCTGGAGTGGGGCAGCGGCCCCTGTGCACGGGGTCCGGTCCGGAGTGTGCCCCGGTTCAGAGGGGGGGAGTGCAAGGCTCCACCGGGCCGCCCGCAGCCCGCGCCTGACTTGGGCGCCCCCTCCGTCCCTCTCCGAGAGCGATGCCCCCCGCCCCTTGCGCCCCCCGGGAACGCCTCGAGCATGGAGAAGTCGAGTAGCGAGGATTCTTCGATCCACCGGAGTCCATCTTTGGACAGCAAGGACTCGGACTTTGCCAAGCCGTCCACCTCGGGCCGCCCGTTCGGCCGCGGCTTCACAGCCGGCGCTTTCTATGGCACCGCGGGCTCCCGGGGCCAGAGCCGCGCAGAGGCTGGCGTCAAGACTGACAAGTACAATGCCCCCAAAGGCAGCAAGTACGTGGTGTTTTACCTGGACCTGTCCTTTGTTTTCCTCCTAGAATTTAAGAAGTGCAACATGGCCAGGGGCTGCCTCTGCTGCTTGAAGTACATGATGTTCCTCTTCAATTTGATATTCTGGGTAAGTTCCTTGCTCTTATCCCTCCCTTTGCCTCCTCCTTCTATACCCTCCTTCCTCTTTGGTGCTGCATTGCTCTGCTCTCTGCACAAAGGTAAGTGGGTTTGTGTGTGTGTGTGTGTGTGTGTGTGTTTTAAAGATCATTATTTTCCCTCGTTCATGTATCTTCCTCTTCCTTTCTCTCTCCTTGGTGACTGAATGGAGGCTCCAACTTGCCTGTCTTCCAGGAGAGACTTACTGTACTCAGGAGGCTGGCAAAGTTTGCCTCCACCTCCTTCCCCTATAAGAAACCCATTTGGAAGTGCCTCTAACTGAATAAGCTTCAGAAATTGGTGTAGGGTCAGAATTTTTAACAGCTGTGACCCTGAGTTGAAGATAGGCACAAGTGTGAATGGTCTTCTTAGTTTCTTCTTGTATTCCTCCTGAATACACAAGAATACCATCTGCAGCACTTATTATGAGTATGAGATAGGGAAGTGGTTGAGGTCACATCCTCCCACTCCTGTCAGTGAACCCCAGGAAAAGGAGGAACAGCCCTGTCCCAAGTTGAGGGACTCCCTTGCTAGCCTGCACATATGCCTCTGAGTTAGGGCTCATGTGGAAAGGAGGGTGTGGGAGGGATGCTGCCATCCGGTGGCAGGCAGCTGCTTTTGAGGGATTGCAGTGGACTGGGCACGGGGAGCAGGCTTGCCATGTGCTCCTGCCATGGACTGCCAACCCTCCCAGCTCTGGGAACCCCAGAGACTAGAAGGGACAAAGGGGGAACAATCAGAAGTGCTGCCATCCTGGGTGAGAGATTGTTTTCTAGAGAAGATGTCAGTGGGTGAGGCAGCTTGGAATTGTTATCTGACCTCTGTGATTCTGGAGACCCGTGTGAGTGTGGCTTGCATACTTGTGCAATAATTACCAGTCAGTTGAATATGAAACTTCTTAACACTCATGCATAAGAAATACTAGTTAGGCAAATTTGAAAACTTAACTTCATATCTAATTGTTCCTTCATCCCAACTGCTGCCTCTGCCTTTCTTACCAGAGCTCAGATGCAGTCAGCACAGATGTTTGGCTCTGTCCCAGGGTTTGTCCTCCTGCTGGCTGGAGGCTGTCAGCTGCCCATGGTCCAGGAGGAGCACTTGAGGGCAGGAGAAAGTCGTTCATAGTGAAGTTGGATAGAAGCAATTATGTTTTGGTGTTCAACACTTGTGGGAAGTGACTGGCTTTAACTGAAAAACTTTTTTGGTTATGTTTTAGGGGGTGCGTGACTTTTCCCACAGAGGGGAAAATTCAGGTTAGGTGAGAAGAAGTCTGGGTTCTTGGTTCTGTGTTAGCTTCTTTTGTGACCTTCGTTAAATTGCATCATTCATTAAGGACTGGCTGTCCTTTCCAGTCCAGTTGGGGGGCTGTCATGATGGTCTCCCTCATGTCCTCACTTCATTAGGTATGGGACATCCTGCATCCTTGCCTTCTCTCTGGGGAAGGAGCCCCCTTCCCTGCCTCATGCACAGGCTTCTGCTTCTCTTTAGAGGAACCTGGTTTGAGATTGAGTTGAATTTTCCTAGATATCTCCATGGTCTGAGGCCCTCCAGTCACTATGTTACCTGTACTTTGGTGAGGGTTTTGTGTAAATTGGGGCAGAACCGCTGAATTGTCAAGAATGATTTTGTGGCTACCACTGGGCAAGTGTTCCTGGTCCTCTGACTCACTTGCCAGCATTAGTGTCAGCCAAACACTGATGTGTATTTCTCTGGTGCCTACGGATTACATAAACACTACCCCTTCATTGTTCACATCCTCCCTGTCTGTTCTTGTTCATAGTAAACCTGCCTTTCTGTCTTGCCCCACTCTGCATATCTTAACACTTACCAGAAAGACCCTCCTGGGGCTGCTCACTTAGTGCCTTGGCCAGTACCTCCCTGATCGCCCCCCCCCCGCCACCTGCTGGCCAGAGTGGGTATAACTGCTGCTTTCTTCTCCAGGATGGTGTCATCTTGGCTTAGGGACCCCCTCATATGGTATATAGCACAATGTTTTTTGCCCTGCACTTAGTTGGAATTTGTTATATGTTTGTGAGTAAATGAATTGAAGGCCAGAGCAGTAAATCCACATGTTAATTGTTTTGCAGGGATTCCCAAGTCCCACTTGGTAGGGACTTGTCCGTCTATGATGAACACTCTCCTAGCACCTTAGCTGTGAGGTGACAAGAGATTCTTTCATCATCCCTGAAAAGCTTGGCAGAGGTTAATGAGCTGGTCGATGGAGTGGGTTTCCTTTATGGTCTATAGTGAGAGGACTTGCTGTCTCTTCCTGATTAGAAGGTACCACCACCACTCTCTTAGCAGGCAAGGAGTGACTCTCTCCTAGTCTCTGACTTTTCTGACTTTTCAGAATTCTGATGACATGCAATGAGCTGGGAAAATTTGAGTCTCAAAGACCCAGGTCTTTTATGGTAGTATGAGATGATGAAATAAGACATACACCGTAGGAAAGATGGAAAATTTAGCAAAAGAGAACCGGATGCCTGTGTGTAAGAGTGCTTATTGGGAGCTGGGAGAGCTGGTGCAGCAGGGTGTTAGCCAGGACTTGGGCACAGTGAGTCACTCAGCTCCACTTGAACGATGACTTCTTGTGGCCAGGTGATTGGGCCTGATGTGGGAGAAGGAGTAGAGGAAAGAGCCAAATGAGAAGAGAAAGTGCTTGGGCCAAAGGCAGGTGGGACAGGACCTCTGGGAGACCTCTGCTCTTTCTAGTGCATGCAGGGAAGGAAAGACTAGAGGTAGGTGAGAGGGTAGGGTGAGGAGGTCTGCAGGGCTGGTGAGGGCCAACTCTTCCAGGACCCAGAGCAATTGTCAGGAATTATGTAGCCATCACTTTTTCTAGTCTCATGGCTCAGATCCCAAAAAGAGGCTTTTCTGAGGCATTAGAGTTGAACCTGAGGCCTGCAATCAATAGCTAGAGATCTCCCTTAGATCCCAGAGCCTACCTGGAAGTTTTCCAAACCCACTGCTGCCGCCATACCCCCTGCCTCCTCCGAGCCCGCTGGGAGGGTTCCCAGTACAGCTGCCTTATACCACAACCCCTCGCAGGCATGAGAGTCCCTGGTTCCTTGTCATTGGGTGGAGCTTCTAGGGTGTTGGTATTGGTGAGGGCTTGGGTGACATCACCGGACAGGGTGGGAGGCAGAGCTATACTGCCAGAATTCCTCTTCCTTACCAAGAAAAGGGCAGGTGCCTTATAGGCTGCTGGGTGCTTGCCTGCTTTGGGGTGGGGATGGGGGTCCAGGTAGCTCCTGGCACTGCCAGCTTCAACCAGGTGGTGCTAGCCATGTTGGCCCCCAGGGCAGCATTTCAGAGGGCCTGATATAGATGATGGGGATTGAGGAGGGTGCAGTCAGTGGTCATGCCTCACTGCGTCTCACCTCCTCTGCTCTACTGCATACTTCACTCTGATTCTCACGGCCAATAAAATGCTGGCTTCTCGGTGGAAAGGAAATAGGAGCCTGAATTGGGACAGAAATTTCTCCATCCTGAAGGGCCTGTCCACCAGTAATCAAACCCACCCCAAGTTATTTCTCCCAGCAGTGGGACTCACTAGGGTATTCCTCTCAGTCAGCCCATCTCTGAGTCCTCCCAGGGCCATCTGGTGGAATCCCCCAGGTAGAGATTAAGTGAATCTAAGTCCCATTAGGGGGGCAAAGGGGGCCCAGAGCTTTTTACTATGAGAAGGGGAGGGAGAGTATAGAATGAGCTCTGAGTGCTTGGGGCCTATGTCCCCTTCTCAGGACAGCAAATCTGATCCCAGCCCTGCTTCTCCCAACCCAAGTCAAGTTCCTGTCTGATATGGAGGGGTGGGGGCGGGGCTGGGGTTGCTGGCATAATTGCCACTCCAGATAATAGTAACTTTTCATGCTTGATAGCAGAGCTGTCCCATCACTTTAAGTCATGGCTGGCAGAGCAGTGACATTCTGGCCCCAATGGAAAGTCTATTCCTTGTGGAGCTCTCCCTTAATAAAGGCCAATTAGCTAAGGAGGCAGTGTTCAGTGTCCCTGCTGGAGCAGGGGAAAGGTTGTCACTGGGCTGTCATGGTCAGGGGATTGGGTGGGGGGCCTGATTAACCTTCCTAAGTGGGATCGGGCCTTTGTGGCTCGGCCCGTCTCAGACTGTTCCCTTGTCCTCTGGGCAGCTTACTTGGTTAAGGTTCTCTGGCCACAGTTGAGGCTTGTGTTTGGTACTGGCATGGCCGCATGTAAGTACCTCTGTGGTCTGTGGTGCCCCGGACAGGGGTCTGTGCACAGTTGGGGCTGGATGGCTTGGGGTGTTCTAAGGAAACTGTGGGGTGCCTTTTATCTGGTAATGGAAGTGATAAGTGGATTGAGGGGCCTTGCCTCTCCAAACAGGAGATCCAGGCTAAACTGGGTAGCGAGAGGCATTCAGAACTTCCCAAAGTGTTTAGGTGTGTCATAGGCTGTCTCCCCAGATGGCTGCTACAGAGAGCTATTTGGAGTGGGTCAGGCATGGCTCTGCTTCGGGGAAAGGACACAGATGAAGGGCCTGGCTGATGCTCTGAGACCCTGGAACATGGCTATGAGGAATGCTGGCTCTGTGTTCACTTCCTTTCCAAAGCATTAAAAATTAAACTTCTTTGTCTTAATATCTATTTTTAAATCATGTCAGAGCCAGCATTGGTGTCAATCAAAGTGGGTGGGGAGGAAGAGGGTAGAGAAGAGAAAGCCCCAGCTGAAACAGGGTGAGCGCTGTCACTGCCTTGAGGAAAGCCACACGGGTCTGTCCTCCATCCTGCCCAGTGGTGAAGAGCACAGAAAAGCACCACCCACCTCCTCTGAGGATGGTGGGCTGAGGGGAGGGTACTGGAGGGAGGGAGGGAAGGCTCACCCTGCGTTAAGGGTTCTCCCTCCCCCACCCTACCTCCATGTGCCTGGCTGCCCTTGGCTGAATTTGGTGGCCAGCTCTGGGGCTTACTAGGCTGCTGGGGTCCCAGTTGAGTCCGC